GCTTGGCACAGACTCTCAGCAGCCCTGAATTCTGTGGACAGAACAGAGCCATTTCATACAGAGGAGTTGGACAGAGTTGGATGGTCACCTAAGAGAAGGAAGATACCATAAAGTTCATGCCTCTCAAGAGGTTTTTGGAATTTGAAAAACCCCACCCCCACCCTAATCTTTCCACTCTCTTAGTATAGAAATCCCAAAGCAAAATCGCCTTGGCCTCTCAGTCTGGCATGGGCCATGCCCTTGGACAGAGTGTCACTGCAGACCCGCCCTCCCCAGCTCACAGTCCTCAACCTGCCACGCCCCCAGCCCCCTCCCTGGGCCATGCTGCAGGGCCCGGCTTTTCCTGCTGATTCATGCGTTGGAACTGTGGGGGCGGGGCTTGGAACTTGGAACAAAGTTCAGACTTGGAGGGGCCGGCAGACAGCCTGGAATTCATACCAGATGTACCCGGAATGTGCAAGCGGAATGCCTGGCATCTGAGAGTCCTGAGGAAGCTGCCCAGCCACCCTGCCCATACTTCCCTCCCCTCCAGGCTTAGGTCCACTGTCCTGTCCCTTACAGTCTGGGAGCCTCTGCTGACCTTCTTCCAAACACTAGATCTCTTCCCTTCCTCACTCTTCCCCAGTCTAGGCCCCCCAAACTCTCTTCCAGCTGAATTCTCTAGGAATAAGTCAGTTGGGTTGATCACTGAACTCACATTTCTGGACCTGAGGTACAACTTCTCACCTGGTATCTGAGTGACTGATGGGGTGTGTCCTGGGTCCTAGGCCCTGCCCTCTCTGAATGCTGGAGAGGCTGAAGTGCCCAGTGGATTGCTAAGAGTTTCTGTAGCTCTGGTCTGTAAAGAGGAGCAAAGGAAGTCTCTTTGTAGCTATCTGTCACTGAAGTTTAGAGCTCCTTCAGTCCCAGGTCCCAGCCATGAACCCCCTCATTAGAAGGCTGAAGGTCTGCTGGAGCTGGGTTTTGATGGCCAGTGGGATGGTGTCCCTGTGACACAGCCCTGCTTAGAGCTTTCCCATTTTTCTTCCCTTTCCTTATAGGAGCTTGTGCCTCCCACATCCTCACCTGGCTGAGCCGCAGTAGTTCTTCAGTGGCAAGCTTTATGTCCTGACCCAGCTAAAGCTGCCAGTTGAAGAACTGTTGCCCTCTGCCCCTGGCTTCAAGGAGGAAGAGGAGAAGGATCTGCTTTCTCTATCATCTGGAAGGTGACAGAACTGGGGCTGGGAAGATCTTAACTGCAGGGGTGATAATAGCTTTGGGGAGGAAAGAAAACCCTACTCAGAGAACCTTCACACAGATTGTCCCAGCAAAGGAGCAGCTTTAGATAGAGATGCTGGCTGAATTGGGGAATAGGTAGCTCAAACTCTCCAAGGTTAGATGGTCTTTGTGTGGCAATGGGAAGAAATGGAGAGAAGGAAACTCTGTACACCTGGACCCAGATTTCCTCCTTCACCTACTTTCTTTATCTCCCAATCTTCCCTACTGGCCTTTCCAAAAGTGAGTTTACTCTTTAGGGAAAAGTGATAGTAAAACTCTGACCTCTATAAGTCATCCCTCTGCTCTTTTCCCTGTGTTTTCTTAGACTGGCCTAGATTCTAGATTTAGGGATACTTACCTCTTTGGGACACCTGTTTCTCCACCTGGAGATGGGGAATCCCACAGATGAGTACGTAGGAGGGCATTAGAAACCCACCTGTGCTGACTCAGCCTGGGCTCTCCCTCCCCCATCCCTGATTACAATCCCAGGTGTTGGGGGGTGGGGAGGTAGATCCAGGGGCTTAGTAAGAGCTCAGTCTTTATATTGACTTCCCACCATGCAAGCTTGACCTAAGGCTTCCCCTGCCACCCAACAGCCAATGGGGTTCTACTGCTGCTTCTCTCACTTTGCTTTCAAGGGTAGTGACTGACACTAAGCTCCGGCTTGTACAACCGGGGAAGATGGGTTGTGGGATGTGACTCCCTTTTGGATGTCAGACAGTGTAAACCCACCACCTCTAGCTCCTCGTTCATTCTCACTTGTGGGCTTGGGCTGGGGTTCTGGTGTGATTCAGCCTTGGACCAGTCTCCCTGACAGAACTACCCAAGCAGTAGTTCTGGGGTTACAAGAAGCTGTTTGATCTGTTTGGTGAGAGGAGATGTGCAGGGGGGCTCGATCCTATTCTCCATTTATGAGAAACTGAAAGTCACAGGGGAGAGAAGATCATTGAACCCAGCTCCTCTGTAGCCTTAACGGAGAGGCAGGATGTGTAGGACTGTGGTAAAGGAGGGTGGGTAGACTGAGTCTACTCAGAGGCTGCAACAAAGATTGCTCTGTCCCTGGACATTGCTTCCACCCTTTCTTCCCCTCCTCACTTCACTGGCCACAGTGTGTCCATCCAGCTCTGAGCATATAGCTCTGCCATGTTCACCCATCACAGAGCAGAGGTGAGGAAGGGCAGCCTGAAAACACAGAGGCAGGCAGAAGACGAGTGAATGACCAGACCTGGAGAGCACAGGGCTGGATCTGGGCAGCCAGCAGTGGGGCCCATCAAGGACTGGAGTTCCCCAGGAGGAGGGAGAACAGCCAGCCTCCACCAAGGACAAGCTTCCAGCCATCTCCTACTTCACTCACCATTGTTCTTCAGTCCCATGGTTTCACCTGCCTTCTTCCAGCTCTTTCCCAGCCTGTGATTTTTATATAAGCAGCCTCAAGGAGCATGAGGCAGCTGTGAAAGGACATACACAGGAAATTCATAAAAGGAATTCAAATGTATAAGATCATGAAAAAAAATGGTTTTATAATAATAATTAAGGAGGGAAAAAAATCACTGAAAGCATTTTCCCCTTAGCATAATAAATAAGATGCAATATTGGCCAAAGAACTCTTATACATTGCATGTGGGAGTATAAATTGGTATAGTCTTTCTGGATGGAAGTTTGATAATATGTATTAAACACCCTAAAAAGTTTTATGTCTTTTAAACCAGTAATTCGACATTTGGGACTCTCTTAAGAAAATAATTAAAGATTTAGTTATAAAATGTTCGTTCATTCCAGGCCTAAAGAAAAATGGAAAGCAACTGTTTGGGAATTCATTCCTTTTCTGCTGTAATGAAAATTTGCAATAGGGGATTTCTTAAGTAAATTATTGTATATCTGTCCAGATGGTGGAGTACTGTGCAACCATTAAAAGTCATGTACAAGAACATTTTGACTGGAAAGAAAAATGCTCTTTGAATATTAAAGAGGTTACAAAAATAGTGTATGTGACAGTTTCATTTTAAAACCAATTTTGTTGTTAAAATATGGTTGTAGGGGTGGGGATGTAGCTCAGTGGTAGAACATTTGCCTAGTGTGCACAAGGCTCTGGATTTGATGCCCAATACCACACACACACACCCACACACAATTTTGTTGTAATGGGTGTATGCTTGTATATATAGGAAACAGACTGAAGATATACTCAGATGTTAATAATGGTTAACTTGAATGTTGGAATAAATGGAATTTTCATCTTTGGTTTTTCTGTAATTTCCAAATTTTCTACATTGTATATTGCTTCCGTATAATAAAAAAAATGTAAAAAAAATCACTGATTTTTTTAAACCTTTGGATAAGATGGTGTAGAAGAAGGAGGAGATGTTCCCAGGTGAAAATATTTGGATGGGGCACCTATTGGTTTATGAACTTCATTCTTTTTTGGGGGGAGTAACTGGGGATCAAACCCAGGGTCTCTTGCAACCCTGTGAACTTAACTTCTCAGGACTGGCCCTCAGCATACAGAAAGCAGCTTTCTGACTTGCTGGCTCTCAGCCAGCTAAAAAGGTGTGGAGAGGAGTAGGAAGGAAAAATAGTAAAACAAACAAACAAACAAAAAACTGTCGCTCTCCAAGAGCTGAGGGATTGGGAAGGGTTTTCTTCTTAAGACTTCTGGACTGGGCATGTAGCTCAGTCTTACAGCCCCTTGCCTGTTGCTTGTGAGGCTCTGGGTTCAATTCCCAGTAACACACACGGGGTTCTAGGATCCTAACAATCCTGCTGCTGAAAACACCACTTTTTATTTTGATTCTGCCCCAACCTGACATGAACCTGTTACCTTCCCTTGTCCTCTGATTGGAAGAGATTCTCCTGCCTATCCAAAAGATACCAAGCCTTGAGAAAGGAAGTAGTTCTCATGACTGCCTTGGTGAGGCTTCCCTTTTCCACCCCGCCTTCCTGAAAAAAAAAAGGGGGGGGGGGGATAAAAAGAGGCTAGGGTCCCCAGTGGGTTACTTCTCCAAAATGGGGGCTGTTCTTCCTTTTCGGAAGCTATGTAAGGGGGCAGGACTCCTGTAATTAACAAGTGCTGGGATGTGTCAAAGTTCTGGAAACCTTGGGAAGCAGAAGGGTGGCTCCAAGGAATTGAGGAGTAGCATTCCCACAACTAACACCGGGAGGGAAAGATGAGTCCGTACTGGGGACCGCGTTGGGCCCTAGTGCTGGGTTGCACTTGCCTCACCTTCAGGTCTGTGAGGGGTGCGTGGGGAGGGGTAACAGTAGGTGAAAGATGAGGCAACAGGGAAGAGAAGGTGAGAGTTAGTGGGGCGGGGCCCTCGGGAGTGTGAGGTAAAATTAGGAACCCATTTCTGAAACTTGGAGGGATTCAGGACACGAGGAGTTGAAAAAAAAAAAAAAAACCCGCTATTTACATCCTGGCAGTCTCTCTGAACTCGGTTGCCCTGCTTAGTACCCAGAAGACCCCAAATCGCTCGCCCCAGGCTGATGCAGGACGCGATCCGTTGCCGTGGCTCCTAGGGCGGTGGCCCCACGGCTGCTCCAATCAGCGCCAGGCGGAGGAATCGGGGCGTGGACAAGCCGAGGAAAGTTAAAGCAGATGCGGAGGGCGGGGCCAGCAAGGGAGCCCCGCATCCTGGCCCTGTCAGGAAGCCAGACCACCCATCCCGCGGGGTGTCTTGGCGGCGTCCTGCAGGAGGGCACAGGGGCCACAGGAACCCCTCCGGATCTAGTTGACCCAGGGAGCCATGGCGCCTTCGGGATTTCTCCTGACTGGAGCCTCCTTTGCCGCCTTCCGGGGGCTGCACTGGGGGCTGCAGTTGCTGCCCATGCCGGGATCTGCTGCACAGAACCGCTGGAAGTGGCGGTACATCTGTAGTCTCGCTGATGCACAGCCTGCTCACCGGGACCGGGACCGGGGTGCTGCTCCGGTGCGGGGCCCCAGGGATTCGAGAGGCACAGGAATGAGGATGAGCAGGGAAAGCTGAGGCTAGAAGACCGGGAGAGTACCTTCAGAACTGAGTGGAGACTGCTTCAAAGTCTGAGACTGGAGTGGGGACATGAATAGGTGGGAGGGCAGTACCCAATCTGAGAATGGGTCGGGGTCTCAGATAGTCTGGCCTTGGCTCCCCCATTTCTCTCAGACGACCGCCAACTGGATTCATGGCCACCGGCCCTGAGTCCTGCTGCTGGGGTCAATGTCAGTGGATCTGCAAGGAAGACTGGGCCAGTGAAGGGCAAATTTTGAGTGGGAATTTCAGGTCCCCTTCTCCCACCTCCATAGGTTACTTCCTGGCCAATGGAGCTTACATGCTGTGGAACCAGACCTCGGTCAGGCCTAGGATCTTCTTTGTCACCATTTGGTGGGAGGACTCTGAGAGTCCAGACAAGAAGAGAGACCTGCCCAACCTGGGTTCTGAACCTCTCTTTAGTTTTTTTCCTCTGACTTCACACAAATTCTTTGACCCTAGCTGGGGTTGATCATTCCAATCCTAGGATGAATTGGAGGAGGGATTGACCGCTGGCCACAGTTTGGAATTTGGACACTGCCCAAGAAGCTTGGATCCCTCCAAGGTGTCCAGCTGATCACAGAAACTATGAATATGGAGATTTCTGATATAGGGTGTAGGGATGGGGCACAAAAGCCCAGAAATGGAAGTTGGGTGTACTCTACAGATGCTGAAGCCCCAAGATTAGACAGCCCCTGAGCCAAGGTAGTTGAGTCCCCATGACAAAGGAAAGCATAAAGGTCAGGTTTGGGGGAACTTTCACAAAATGCTCTAGAGTCCCTTGTATAGGGACTGGGAGATTGGGACATGATGGGTGCCGGTCATGGAAGGTCCTCTGACCTAGACTTCTGCTCCCAGATAATGCGCTGCCTCTCCCAGATAATGTGCTGCCTCAGCACCATTGTTCTGTCTCATTACTACATGGGCTTCTTAGTGGTGTCTCTGCTGTTGAAGCTGAACTCTGCCTGCTTGCACCTACAGAAACTGCTGCTGCTTTCTCACCAAATCCTCTTCCTAGCCTTCAGTGTGACCAGTGGCCCTCTTCTACCTGATATTCCTATGGTAGATGAGTCTGTGGTTGCTCTGGCAGCAATGTCAGGTGCCTCTTGCTCTGGTCATCCTTGGTGGAACTGGACTGGTCATTGTGTTGCTGCAAGTATTACACTGTGTGTTGGAATCCAGATCAGTCATCACTGTGGTCTTGGCCCCACCCTTCCTTGGGTTGAAGAAAACCAGGTGGACTAGAACATGTGATGTTGAGCCTGTCACCAGGGACAATTCCATTCTCAGCCTAAAAGTCTACAGAAAGTGGCAGGCTCCTCCTCTACCAGCCCTAGACAGGAGATGGGGCCAGGATAAGGAGATGGTGACCTTTACTGAACAGTTCTCCATGGGGATAAAGACTGGACTACAGTATCTCAGGTCCTCTTCCAGCTAACTAACCTCCCCCTAGTGCCCCCTTTTTTGTTTTGTATTGGGTGCTTAACCACTGAGTCACATTCCCAGCCCCCCCCCCTTTTTTTGGTGCTGGGGATTGAACCCAGGGCCTGCGCATACAAGGCAATCTCTCTACCAACTGAGCTATATCCCCAGCCCATCCTAGCCCTTTTTAATTCTTATTTTGAGATAGGATTTCACTAAAATGTTTAGGGCCTTGCTAAGTTGCTGAGGGTGACTTTGAACTTGTGATTCTCCTGCCTCAGCCTTCCAAGTCACTGGGACTACAGGCATGTGTCACTGCACCTGGCTACCTACCCCCCCCCCCACCACCTTTAAGATCCAGGAAGAAATGCTGATGTTGGTGACTGGCTGGGAATGTGGGCTCCTTGTTCACTGAATTCCATCATCAGATACCACCCTTTCCAGAAAAAGAACTGAAGAGAACAACCAGAGCTATCAATACAAGGTGGCAAAAGGCACGAAGCTGGAAGAAATTGCCAATAGAAACAGAAACTCTTTACTCTAGCATAGGGACAGATGAGGGAAAGTGAGGTCCCACTAGAATCAGAAAGATCTGGTATGAAGAAGGTAAGACCAGAGGAAAGAGAGACCTCATGTGATCAAATTTTGTTAGTGGGAAGGGGGCACAAGAGATGATATTGCCAGTAGAAATGGGTATTACAGTTGCCAAGTGACAGAATAACTCAGGCCACTGCAATTACTGCTGATGCTTTTGGTTCTCAAAGCCATACTACAGGTATTGAGTTTGTGCTTAACCTAGTCCTACTATGTTCAACCTTTTTAATTATTTTGTATCTTCTGATCTTTCAAAGAAAATGTACATTCTTAGAGGAATGGGGATGGGCTAGGTCTGTCTTAAGATAGCACTGAAGCCCAGAGCCATAGATGGAACTCAATTAACCAACCTGAGTGTTTACTGTAGGACTTTCCCAGGGCCAGGGTCTCATGAAAGAATGAGGGCAGGGGCAGAACAGGTGATAGAGGTTCCCACTTGGCTGCAAATGGATAAAAGAATAGCTGGACCTCTTCTGGATCTCATTTGAGAGCTCTCCTTCCTTCCTTCCCTAATATTCCTGCTATATGTTTTCTATGACACAAGACACCTCCTTTCTCAGTCAAAACATTCACATTGAGCCAAGAGCAGTGGAACAGGCTCATAATCCCAGTGACTCAGGAGCTGAGGCAGGAGGTTTGCAAGCTTGAGATCAGCCTCAACAATTTAGCGAGGCCCTAAGCAACTTAGCAAACTCTGTCTCAAAATATAAGACAAAAAACACTGGGGGCTGAGGTTGTGGCTCATCGGTACAGCACTTGCCTAGCACGTGTGAGGCCGTGGGTTTGATCCTCAGCACCATATAAAAATAATTAAATAAAATAAAGGTATTCTGTCCAACTACAACTAAAAAATAAATATTAATAAATAAATAAATAAATAAAAAGAACTGGGGATGTGGCTCAGGAGTATGCCCTTGGGTTCAATCCCGAGTACAAAAAAAAAAAAAAAAAAAAAAAAGAAGGTATGATAAATGTAGAGCAGATTAAGGTTATTATTTTATTTGATTTTTTAATTTTTTAAAAAAATTTTTAGTAGTAGGTGGATACAATACCTTTTTATTTTTATTTATTTATTTTTATGTGGTGCTGAGGATTGAACCCAGGACCTCATGAGTGCAAGGCAAGCACTCTACCACTGAGCTACAATCTCAGCCCTGGGTTACTATTTTACTAAGCAATGGAAGAAAGAAATAATACTATCTATCATCCACAGAGAAGATACATGAACAAAAGCAAAAGACAAGATTTTTTAAAATTTATTTATTTTTAGTTGTAGTTGGACATAATACCTTTATTTTTTATTTATAATGCGGTGCTGAGGATTGAATTCAGGGCCTTGCACATGAGACGTGAGTGTTCTACCACTGAGCCACAACCGCAGCCCCAAGATTTTTTTTTTTTTAAGTACTGATAAACAAGCAGGGTATGGTGGTACACACCTATAATCCCAGCAGCTCTGGAGGCTGAGACAGGAGGATCAGGAGTTCAAAGGCAGCCTCAGAAAAAAAGCAATGCACTAGGCAACTCAGTGAGACACAGTCTCTAAATAAAATGCAAAATAGGGCTGGGGATGTGGCCCAGTGTCAAGTGCTCCTGAGTTCAATCCCCAGCAAACACATATGATCAAATTTTGTCAGTGGGAAGGGGCCACCCCTGCCAAAAAAAAAAGTTCGTTAAGAAGCTAAAGGAAAGACAAAGAGGATGACAGAGATAGGGATGGATAGAAGGAGGCACAGGGAAGGCAGAAGCAAAGAAAGATTGAGAGTAAGCAAGAGAGACGCCTTAGCAGAAATATAGAAAAAGATGTTATTACAGAGGCTGAGAAGAACCCAAATCACAACTAGCCACAAACAAAGAAGACAAGAGAAATTTGAATAGAATAAAATAATAAAGGCTGATAGAAAGGAACTCCAAGTGTAAAAGGCACAGCCAATCTAGACAGAAAAATAGTGAGAGTGAGTGATAAGGAGAACAAATAGACTCTGGAGAGATGGAGGTGATAGTGGCAGATCCAGAGATTAGCATTGGGAGGAGAGACGTGGAAATAGAGAGGGGATTACTCAGGGGAGCTGGGAGGCAGAAGGGCAGAAGACAGAGACGGCAGTCAGTGGAAAGACTCACTGACAGAAGAGAGGAGCAGGAAATATGTTGAACTGGAGGCAGGCAGAAAGACAAAGGACAAACAACTATAGTGCAAACCACAGGCTGACAGTGACTGATAGGCAGAGAGTGGCAGGAAGAGAAGGACAAGACAGAATCAGAGATGTACACTGAGACAGAAGAATAAGCAAAAGGGCTGACCAGGAGATTCTCAGAGAGGAGAAAGGGGGAAGAACAGAACAAATAAATATTGGAAGGAATGAAAGGAAGAACACAGAAATGAAGAGAGAGAGCGAGAGAGCGCGCACTGAGTGCGGTCTCACATGTCTGTAATTCCAGTAATTTGGGAGACTGAGGTAGAAGGATCAGAAATTTGGGGCTGGGATTGTAGATCAGTGGTAGAGCACTTGCCTAGCACATGTGGGGCACTGGATTCGATTCTCAGCACCACATATTTATATATATATATAAGTTCATCAACAACTAAAAAAAATTTAAAAAAAGAAGGATCAGAAATTTGAGGCCAACTCTGGCAAGTTAACAAGATCCTATCTCAAAATAAAAAGGGGTAGGTATTTAAAAATAAATAAAACTGGGGATGTGGGCTCAGGGGCATAGTGCCCCTGAGTTCAATCCCCAGTACCAAAAAAAAATTTTAAAAAGTATGTATGATAAATGTAGAGCAGATTAAGGTTACTATTTTACTAAACAATGGAAGAAAGAAATAACACTTTCTATCATCCACAGAGAAGATACATGAACAAAAGCAAAATTCAAGATCTTTTTTTTTTTTAAGTACTGTTAAACAAGCAGGGTTAGATCATTTGCCTAGTATGTGTGAAGCCCTGGGTTCAACACCCAGTACCACAAAAATAAATAAATAAATAAATAAATAAATTAATTAATTAATTAATATTTGTTTTGGTTGTTGATAGACTTTTATTTTATTTATTTATGTGCGGTGCTGAGAATTGAATCCAGTGCCTCATACATGCCAGGCAAGTGTGCTACCGCTGAGCCCCAGCCCCAGCCCCCACAAATTTAAAAATTTATAAAATAAATGAAGAAAGAAAAAAAGAAATAATGGAGACCTGGAAATAAATTTAAAAAGTGAGATCTCTGTCACAGAGTCCTAAAACACTGAAGCTCAATGGGGAAAAATAACAAATAGGAGCTCAGGCACTGGGTTCAATCCCCAGCACCACACACACACACACACACACACACACAAATGTAGAGACTGAGGAGAAACTCACAGTTGGAACTAGATAAACACAGGGAGAAAATAAGAGCAGAGGATTTCCATGTAATAAGACTAGACTCTGAGAGACACAAGTATAGAAGTTAAGATAGAGAAATAGGGGCTGGGGCTGCCGGGGCTCAGCGGTAGTGCACTTGCCTGGCTTGTGTGAGGCACTGGATTCAATTCTCAGCACCGCACATAAATAAATAAAATAAAGGTCTATCAATAACTAAAAAAAAATTTTTTAAATAATTTATTTAAGGGTTGGGGATATAGCTCAGTTGGTAAAGGGCCTGCCTTGCATGCACAAGGCCCTGGGTTCAATCCCCAGCACCACAAAATTAATTAATTAATGGATGGATTTTAAAAAGAGAGAGAAACAAAGTTTTTTGTTGTTGTTGTTGTTTGTTTTACAATACCTTTATTTTTTATTTATTTATTTTTAATGCGGTGATGAGGATAGAATCCAGGGCCTCGCACATGAAAGGCAAGTGTTCTACCACTGAGCCACAACCCCAGCCCCTGTTTGTTTGTTTAAAGCAGTATCTCCCTATGCTGCCCAGGCTGGCCTGGATCTCCAGGACTCAAGCCATCCTCCTACTGAGTAGCTGAGACCACAGATGCTCACAACCACACCTGGACAAAGTCGAATTTTGTTAAAGAGTTTGTCCTTAATGAAGTATCTTCAAACCAGGCACAGTATTACTTGCTTATAATTCCAGCAACTCTGGAGGCTGAGGCAGGAGGACCACAAATTCAAAGTCAAACTGCAATTTAGCAAGCCCCTGTCCCAAAATAAAATAAATAGGACTCGGAATGTGGCTCAGGAGTTCAGTGGTAGAGTGGTAGCAAGCAAGAGGCTCTGGGTTCAATTCCTTGTACAGAATTTAAAAAATAGTATCTTCAAAATTCAATTTGTGGCGGCTGGGGTTATAGTTCTTGCCTAGTGATGAGAGTGCTTGCCTCGCATGTATGAAATAAAGAAATAAAAATATTGTGTAGTACAACTAAAAATATTAAAAAAAAAAAAAAACACTCAATTTGCAGCTGGATGTGGTGGTGCACACCAGCAATCCTAG